ATTTCTTTTCTTTATTTACATTTCTACCTCTCCACACAAACATTTGGTCCGATCGAGCAGGATTTGGTAAAATTTAGAAAAAGGCACTAACACTTTCTTTTCTTCAAATTTACAAGAACACCATCTTTATTTATTGACGCCGTCATCTCACTCCTTTTTTATAAAATTACTTAAAGGAAATTTATTGGAAATAAAGGTGCGTAAATTGAATTTTAAATAAAGTGTTTGAAATTATTAAAGTGAAATACAAAATAAATAAAAAGTGTGAAGAGTAATAGAAGACAATTAAAAAAACAAATTATTTGTGTCCTTTATTTTTGATCTATTGTGATTGATCGTTTGACAACCCTGTGTCCTAATCTGACGTTTGTTTTAAATATTTTTCTTTCGGTGTGTGCAAATCAACCGCGGTCTTGTTTACTCGGACAGACGTCATATTTCTTTATATATTTTCTTTTACAAGAAAAATTAAATAAATTTTAAATTTAAGCCATTTGAATAAGTGTTTCGGTGGAAAATAAATGAAAATAATTTTTATTGAACATTGAAGAATCGATACAATATATCGCGGAAGGTAAGTGAGTGAACTTAAACAATTTTTGTTGCTTTGAACATTGTTTTTTTTTCTCTCTTTCATTTATTTATTTGCGGTCAGTAGTCACCCTACCGTCGGTCTGTTTGACTATAACACTTGTGCTTAGAAAATTTTTTATTTTTTTTTGTAGTTTTTCGCATTTATTAAATTCGTTTTAATTTTTGTTGAATAACAGAAGAAATAAAATGGCTTCAAAATTAAATGATTTTATTAGAGCTTCCGATGCTATGGTTTCGTTCGCAGCCACTTTTAAGAATTTAAGTGAGGAAACTCATAATATTTTCACGTTAGAAGTTCAGAGTGAAGAAGTTAGGCGTTTGTGGGACGAAGTTAGGTCTACTTATACCACTTGTCTGAAAAGTTTGGAAACATTATCTTCCACTAAATCTAGTGATGTAGACGCGGCGTCTGCTAAATACCAAATTACATATTTAGCATATGTTCAGTGCTTAGGGGACATTAAAGAGAAAGCGTACAAATCTGAATCGGTGCAGAAAGCAGCAAATTCGAATTCTGGGAATTCTGACCACAACCTAACCTTACCTCCTTGTGATGTGGAAACTTTTAAGGGGGACTATGTCTCTTGGCCAGCCATTAGGGATTTATTCACGGCCATTTATATTAAGAGTTCCCGTCTTAGTAATGTCGAGCGTCTATGTCACTTGTTACGCAAGACTGAAGGTGAGGCAAAGGAAATAGTTTCGAAATGTCCTCTAAGTAATGAAGGTTTTGAGGTAGCATGGAGGGACCTGAAAGATGCATATGAGAATCCTCGTATGTTGGTCAATAACCAGTTAAAACTTCTTTTCAACCTTTCTTCCTTCGATAAGGAGAATAGCGGCCTTAAAACGTTACAAAGGGGAATAAATAGTTCTCTTTCTGCTTTAAGTATTTATAAAGTAAGCACTGAAAATTGGGATCATATTCTAATTTTCCTATGTATACAGCGTCTCCCTAAGTCTACAGTTACTTTATGGGAACAGGGTGTCAAGGATAAGTCAGGTTTATCTTATTGGAAAGATTTTGATGCCTTTCTGACAGAAAGGATACGTACGTTAGAGTGTATTGACGATCTGAAAGAATCTCCACCTGTAGGGAAATCTTCCGCTCCAAAGGTAAAAGTTCATGTGGTAAATTCCTCTGCTAACAATAGTTGCGTTTTATGCCATTCTCCAGGCCACTTTTTGAGATCTTGTAAGCGATTTAAGTAAAACGATTTCACTGTTGTCTCAACTGTTTGTCACGTGAACATGAAGTGAAGAATTGCCAAAGTCCTTTTAAATGTGCGAAATGTAAGAAGAGGCATCACACTTTGTTGCATCGCGAAGTATCCTCCACTGCAGGTTCGAATAGTGATAATACAGTTACAGGTTCTTCTACAGATAATAGCACTCGGCCTACTACCAACGAAAATTTGGATATAGCTCCTTCTACTAGTAGCCAGTCAGTTGCAAATTCAAATCGACAAGTTTTTCATGTTTCTCAGAATTGCAAGGTCCTTTTAGGAACTGCTATGGTGAATTTATTTCACCAGGGTACGACGTACCCAGCACGAGCTCTTATTGACCCGGCTTCCGAATCTTCATTTATATCGGAAAATTTTCAGCATCGGCTGAAATTATGTGCTCATTCGACGAATGTTAGCGTTTCGGGTATTAACCAAACCTTTTCTGCTACCTCCAGGAAAGTTTGCAATTTGAAAATTGGTTCTCCCTTGGATCAGTCTCTTTTGTTAGAGACCATGGCTTACGTGTTACCTACAATTTCAGGCAATTTACCTTCGTTTGTAATCGGCCCTGAGCACCGTGGAAACTTTTCTCATCTCCACTTAGCAGACCCACATTTTTACAATTGTAGACCAGTTGATATTTTGTTGGGGGCTGATTTATATCCACGTGTAATATTAGGTGACATTCGACGTGACGTTTTAGGAACCTTAGTGGCCCAAAATACCATTTTTGGATGGATTCTTACTGGCTTTATTCCGGAAAAATCAGTTCAGGTATATTCGACTAGGATTGAGTTTTCACCTGAAGATAGTCTTAATCAAAACCTACTTAGATTTTGGGAGTTGGAGGAACCACCTAGAAAAAAGACTTTGACCCCTTTCGATAAATTTTGTGAGGAAAACTATAGGAGTACTACGCGCCGCGACTCCGAAGGCCGTTATGTAGTGACGCTACCTTTTAAGCCTGAATTTCCTCATTCTATTAGTTTAGGCTCTTCAAGACAGAATGTGATAGCACAATTCTTGAGAAATGAGTCCTCTCTTTTAAGAAAACCGTCGGTCAAAGCTGTATATGATAGCGTAGTTGAGGAATATCTCACTCTTGGTCATATGAAACCTATAATGGGTAACCAGATTCCTCTTTCTTGTTATTTACCCCATCACCCGGTAATTAAGCCCGATAGTAAAACGACCAAATTACGGGTCGTATTTAATGCGTCCAATAAAACATCCAACGGGAATAGTTTGAATGATTGTCTTTATGTTGGACCAACATTACAATCTGATTTAGTTCTCCTAATTCTTCGATGGCGATTATTTAAGTTTGTGTTCAATTGTGATGTAACACAAATGTACAGACAAATTCGTCTTGATCCTTCTCATACTCCATTTCAGCGGATAGTGTTTAGATCTTCTCCGACTGAGGAGATTAAAGTCTATGAGTTACAAACAGTAACTTTTGGTGTCAATTGTGCACCTTATCTAGCAATAAGAACGTTGCTACAATTAGCAGAGGATTCTGAATCTGAGTATCCACTAGCGGCTAGCGTTTTACGCAAGTGTATGTACGTTGACGACGTCTTAACAGGTGCTCATGATATTCCCTCTGCTTTGAAAGCCCGTGATCAATTGATAACTGTTTTACAATCCGCCAAATTTGAATTGCGTAAATGGACATCAAATGAAAAAGGAATACTTAAAGGGATTTCCCCCGAGTTTTTAGTAGATTCCAAACTGTTGACTTTTGTCGAATCAAGTAGTTCAAAAACTCTGGGTATTCTTTGGAATGCCCAGTTAGATTCATTTTATTTTAGAGTCGAACCAATTGCCAATCGTCCTCATTACACAAAGCGGGAAGTTTTGTCTACTATAGCTAGATTGTTTGACCCCGTGGGATGGTTAGGCCCTGTTATTATATCGGCGAAAATTATTATGCAGACTAGTTGGCGTGATCATATTGATTGGGACGATTTTTTGCCTGTATCGACCGAAAGTGAATGGAGAAGATTTGTGTCTTCTTACACTGAGGTTAATAATATTGGAATACCTAGATGGGTTCGTTTCGCTCCGGGATTTTCAACTGAACTCCACGCCTTTTCTGATGCTTCAGAGAAAGCATACGCGGGGGTAATATATATTAGAGTAGAGGGGGCAGATCAGATTTATACACACTTACTTTCATGTACGACTAAAGTTGCTCCCATAAAGACTATTTCATTACCTCGCCTAGAACTTTGTGGTGCTGTGTTAGCTTCCGAGCTTTTGAAGACTATAGTGGCCGAAATTGATATACCTTTTGAAAGGATATATTGTTGGACAGACTCGACGATTGTGCTTTGCTGGTTAAAGAAAACCCCTAGTAGTTGGACTACATTTGTGGCAAACCGAGTCTGTAGAATACAAGAAAATGTAGGCATGCATAATTGGTACCACGTGAAGTCAGAAGAAAACCCGGCAGATTTAGGAAGTCGCGGTGTTTGTCCTTTCGAACTGTCACAGAGTGATTTATGGTGGCATGGACCCAGTTGGCTTAGAATGCCCAAGACTAGTTGGAACATTCAGAATCTTGGGCAAGTAGATACCGAAGTAGAAATGAGAACTGTCAAAACGCATGCATCGTTTTTTACAGATTGTGAAGATGTTCTCGATAGATTTTCGTCTCTTGATAGAGCTCTAAGGGTTATTTCGTACATTTTCCGGTTCTTTTTTAGAACTCACCCTAGTCAAAGAAATCGATATATATTTCCAACCACTATTATATTAAGGGATGAGATTAGAAAAGTTAAAATACGTTTGGCGATTTTAGCTCAAAAAGTACATTTCACAGAGGAATATCGTTGTCTCCTTTCGGGAAGGCCTATTTCATCAAAAAGTTCCTTATTGACTCTTAATCCTTGCCTGGATGAAAATATGGTAATGCGAGTAAATGGTCGTTTAGAAAAATCACCTTCGTTGTCATATACGGAAAAGAACCCCATTATTCTTCCTTATTCGTGTCGATTTACATTGCTTTTGGCAGAGTTTGTGCATATTATTACAATACATGGCGGAAATCAACTCATGTTGAGGACTATTCGCATCGAGTATTGGATTCCACGGCTTAAAATCCTGGTTAAAACCATCATAAATCGCTGTAAACGTTGTATATTGGACAGGAAACGTTCGTGCAGTCAAATAATGGCGTCTTTACCACCTGAGAGGACGTCGGCATATGTGTGTATTTTCGTTTGCTTCGCTACTAAAGCGGTCCATTTAGAGGCAACATCAGATCTAACAACGGATGCGTTTTTAGCAGCATTTCATCGGTTTATTTCTCGACGTGGTTGTCCATCGACCATGTTCTCAGATAATGGTACAAATTTTGTCGGAGCCTCTAGGGAAATTGAAAAAGACTATAGGACTTTTCTAAAAGAATGTCAGGCTCGTATGTGTTCTACATTTGGTACTCAAGGTTTATCATGGCGATTTATTCCTGCTGGAGCTCCTCACATGGGTGGTTTGTGGGAAGCTGCCGTGAAAAGTTTTAAACGCCATTTTCGTCGGGAAGTACAGTCCGTAAAATATACATTTGAAGAACTATGCACAATATTAGCACGAATTGAGGCCTGTTTAAATTCTCGTCCTCTTTACCCCATGTCAGACAACCCATTAGAACCTATTGCCTTGACACCTGGTAATTTTTTAATCGGCTGTCCCATTTTATTCCCACCTGAACCTTCTATTTTTGAATCTCCTATTAGCCTAGTTAATCGGTATCGTAAAGTGAAAGCCTTTACTCACGAATTCTGTCGCCGATGGAAGGAAGAGTATTTGTCTAATTTGCACAAGCGATATAAGTGGAAATCGCCGGAGCGTGATATTTCGTTAAATGATCTGGTTGTTATACGCCAGGAGCAAATGTCACCTACGTCTTGGAAGTTAGGACGGGTTGTTAAACTTTACCCCGGTAGTGATCATCATGTTCGCGTCGCGGATCTACTTACCGAAAACGGGATTGTTAAACGACCAATCACTAAACTAGTCGTTTTGACTAGTTAAATTTAAATTTTGTAAATACTTTATTAACCTTTATTGTTTCTTAGTAATTATGGACGCCCTACCAACCTTTTTCGAAAAAGCTTTGCTTGAAAAGTGCGATGAGGCAATGGAGGTAACGGATCCAGTTCCAGTGGAGAAGTGGATTGAGGCAACCAAGGCTATACTGGTCGATGTTAGAACTCCTCCGGCCGCGTCAAAAGAACATATTGAAATGCCTCAAGAAACTACTGCAGAGCTAAATACACCAATGGAAAAAACGAGCTCGAATGTCCCTTCTACGAACAACATGCGCAAGAAAAAGACTACGAGAAAATGTAGCTTCTGCTCGAACGGGCATTTTCTTAGGAGCTGTTTCTCATTCCGGAAACTAAAAAATGAGGATCGACTTCGCCACGTAGTCATGTTCGGATGCTGTTCTCGATGCTTAAATCGAGATCATAAGACTAAGGATTGCAAAAGTGCTTCGAAGTGCAGTATTTGCAAGGGTGAACATAACACTTTATTGCATTCCCCTAGCACGCATTCTCCTAGTCCCAAAACTAAACAGCCAAAATCCAAATCGGCTAAAACCACTCGCCAGCATCCGAATGCAAACTCGACCGTCCGCTCACTCCCATTATGCCACATGATAACATTTTCACCAACTTTACAAGTTAAACTGAAATCCGCGAAGTCATACACTTTGGTTCGGGTAGTACTCGACTTGTGTTGTACACATAGTTATATAAGCGAGGATCTCGTTCGTAACCTTAAGTTACCTGTAACCAAGGTAAATAATGATGGTTACTGTCGGGTTTCGCTTCAGTCGATTCACGATCCCTCCAAAGAACTAAATCTTTCGGCAAAAGTACTGCAAATGAACCGGTTGAAAACGCCATTGGAAGATGTGTCGGACAGCATTCTAGAACAGTATGATGGATTTCAGCTTGCAGATCCCACGTTTTATAAATCTGGACAAGTGGCGCTTGTGTTGGGTCCAGAAGTGAGCTCTAAAGTGCTTAAAGGGAAAATACATTCGAGCCCGGGTTTTCCATTGGCACAATACACGATTTTCGGATGGGTCATATCTGGAATCTCTCCCTATTAAACTGTATATATGCAGCTATAAATTTATATATATAAATCCAATATGAATTACCATCTGTAATGATTTTTGTTGAATTTTTAATTGTTACAACATGCTTAAGATATTGCAAGGTCGGCGGCAATGTTTAATTGAACCTTTTTTTTATTACTATTTTTATGTTGATACTGTTGTATCTTAATTTTTATAAATTTAGTAAATAAGATATTCGGCAGGATCTAAGCTTTACTCCCCTTTTTAACACCTTTGCGTGTTTTTCGGAGTTTTTAGCTTAGATTCTAACGAGTAAAATGCTAACGGTTCAATTGTTCCTTGTTAGCCATTTTTTATAAGACAAAGTTCTAGTTCGTTTAAGACATTAGAATAGAACAGACCTGGGCGATTTCCATTAATTTAGCATTAACATTAAATTAAAAAAAAATTAATTTAATGTAAAAAATATTGCATTAACATTAAATTTGTAAAATTTAATGCATTAAATTTCCATTAACATTAAATATTTTTGAATTTAATGCTTTAATTTTACATTAACATTAAATATTTTTGAAATTAATGCATTAATTTTGCATTAACATTAAATATATCTGAATTTAGTGCATTAATTTTACATTAACATTAAATAAGCAATAAAATTAATGCATTAATATTCCATTAACATTAATATATATAAAAATTGATAAACATAAATAAAAATACAGCAAAAGAGACCTCGATCTAACTAAATACAACTAAAATTAAATAGGTTAAAGTCCTTTCTAATAACTCCTATATTCCATTCAAACTTGTGTGTTTTAAATATGATATTTATATAAGATTCCACAGACAAAATAAACTATCTGGGAAGTGATACTATTCTTCTAATATGTATTATCGAGTATAGGACTTATTAGAAAGGACTTTAACAAAATAAACTAAAAAAGGAATATCTAGGAAGTGATACTATTCTTCTAATATGTATTATCGAGTATAGGACTTATTAGAAAGGACTTTAACACATTCAATTTTACTTGAATTTAGTTAGACCGAGGTCTTTAGCGCTGTATTCTTATTTTTATAAATTATTTTATACATTAATGTTAATGGAAAATTAATGCATTAATTTTATTATTTATTATTTAATGTTAATGGAAAATTAATGCATTAAATTCAAAGATATTTAATGTTAATGCAAAATTAATGCATTAATTTCACAAATATTTAATGTTAATGTAAAATTAATGCATTAAATTTAAAAATATTTAATGTTAATGCAAATTTAATGCATTAAATGTACCCATGTTAATGTTAATGCAATAAACTTGCATTAAAATTAATTTTTTTTAATGTAGAAAAAATTGTTAATGCATTAACACATTTAATGCATTTATCCCAGGTCTGGAATAGAACACTTGTCGCCTGGACTTCCAAATAAAAAAAGATAATTTATAGATAAATAAAGTTAAGACATTCTGTTTATCTAATACCAAAAATCAATTTGTTTTCTTTATTTACATTTCTACCTCTCCACACAAACACATTGAATTAAAAATTAATATTTTTTTCCTAGTTTTCCTACTACTTCTACAAGAAATTTGTTCAAACAAACCTATTAGTAATTAAAAAGTAAATTTGTGCCTTAATAAAAAATATATATTTTTTTAATTCAAATATTTCATATATTAAATGAATCATTATAAATTTGATTTTTGTTTTATTTCTGCTAAGCAATGGTGTTATTGAATGCTTTTCATTTTGCGTATCAAATTTTTGGGGGTTACCATTTTATTTGTAAAAAAGTAAAGGCAGAGTAGACTAGACTAGTAGACTACAGTCTAATCACTTTTAAATGATTAAACTTATTTTCTATAAAAGTTTTTAAAGTTTACAAACGTTAACATACATTTTGATTCAGTGATCTAACTTTTTGTTTCTTTGGTCAAGGTGTTATTTAGTTACATATATTTTTTATTTATTTTTTATAGTCGTCACCATCAACAATTGATAATCAAGCAAGTTCTTCAAATGAAACGCCATCCACAAGTCATCGTAGTCGAAAAAGAAGAGCTAATTCTGAAGATCTTCGTGATTTTTTAAAAAAGATGTCCAGAATTGCAGAAAAACGTTTTTGACCTCAGCCTGATGAGGGTTCAACAGATGCTAATAATAATAAACATAAAGGTTTTTTTCCTGATGGTGCAGGATCTTTTTAACAAAATGCCTGATAATGCCGTTGATGACAGCAAAATATTTTTTATAAATTATTTACATAGCCAAATTAAGGATTATACTGAGAATATAATTTAAAAAGCTCTGAGTATTATTTTTGAATGAATTCATTGAATTAATAATTAATAATTTTATTTCTAGTTTTCGTACTACTTCTACAAGAAATGTGTTCAAACAAACCTATTAGTAATTAAAAAGTAAATTTGTGCCTTAATAAAAAATATATATTTTTTTAATTCAAATATTTCATATATTAAATGAATCATTATAAATTTGATTTTTGTTTTATTTCTGCTAAGCATAAAAGACAGATCATTGTATTATAATACAAAAAATAAAAAATACATTTCAATTTAAATTTTATTTATTAATAAATAATTACATAAGTTCCTTAAATCAAAAGCATTTCTAGAAGAATTATTGGAAGATAATCTTGAAATATTTTGCAATGGGGAAACTTCTTTTCTCCATAAACCTTCAATTAATTCTCCATTTTCCTCCCTATCAACAAAATCTGGTGGACAATATGTTTTATCATTCAGTTTTACATAATTATGCAATACAACAGTGGCACATACACTTTTTTCTGCAGATTCCGGACTCATATTTAAAGTGCCTCGTAAAATTCTCCACCTGGCGATCAAGATTCCGAAAGCATTTTCAATTGTTCTACGAGCTCTAGACAGCCTTTTGTTAGAGTTAATTTTTTCAGCGCTTAATAAAAGTCCGGGATAAGGTCGCATCAAATAAGACTTTAATGGAAATGCTGCATCTCCTACCATATAATATGGGAATTTATAATCACTATTTGGCAATTTAGCATCGGGGGGAAACCAAGACCATTGTTTAAAAGATTCCTTCCAAATTCTGAGTAGGTTAAAACACCTTTTGTTAAAGTTATTTTTTTCAGCGCTTAATAAAAGTCCGGGATAAGGTCGCATCAAATAAGACTTTAATGGAAATGCTGTATCTCCTACCAGATAATATGGGAATTTATAATCACTAATTGGCAATTTAGCATCGGGGGGAAACCAAGACCATTATTTAAAAGATTCCTTCAAAATTCTGAGTAGTTTAAAACACCACCGTCACTCTGACGCTACATCTACAGCGATAAAATTGTAATTAGCATCGCACACACCAAGAAGAACAATGCTAAAGGTTCCTGCAAAAAACAAACGCATACATACAATTTGTATGTATTTATATTAATTGTTATATTATATGACATTGCAAATGTATAGTATACATATTTATACCTTTGTAATTATAAAACTGTGAGCCAGAATTAGGGGGACATGTAATGGTAATATGTGTGCCATCAATTGCTCCAACGCAGTTAGGCATATTTCACAGAGAATAAAAATCTTTTGCAACATTTTTCCATTTATTTTTATCGGGCGATGATATGTAAGTAGGACATAATTCATCCCATATCAATTGGAAGGTCTCCAAAACAATTTTTCTAACAACGGATACTGACATTGTAAATGTTAATGAAAGGTACTGGTTGGTCCGTGAGCTAAGTAACTAAATTTTAGGTCATTTTTTATCAACTTTATTTCAATTTAAAATAATTTATAATTCACTTGCATCAATGTTAGAAACAAACGACATTCAGAAAAAATTGCCCGAGCTGAATTTTTGTCCAGTTTTTCTGCTAACCTACTATATAATTCATCAAAAACAGTTGGATGCATTCTCGTTGCCACAAAAAACTGTTCAGGATCATTTTTTAATTTATGGAAAGTTGACGCAAAGAAGCCGTCGACATCTCATTCCAGGTAAATGCCCCGCACCCAAAATCTTCTCTTGATCTTAGATCGGGATATATAAACATGTACTGCACACAAAATAAATTTATAGAATTTGTGATAAATTAAACAAAACGCATTGTTACAAGAATAAAATACAATTAGTAGAATTTAGAGTTTACTTTTAATCGACAAAATGCAAATAATCAATGGCTATAAATTTTTTCACTCATATGAATTCCATAATTCGTAATAATTTGCAATTTCTGAAACAAGGCGACATCAACATTCTTTGTTGAATGCTTTGAAGCTACTAAATAAATTTTGTTTATTTTTCGCCCTTGTTAAGAGGTTCGTTTAAGGTCGTGTTGTGTACATGTAAATTGAAGAAAATCTTCTTTTTTTTCAACAAAAAAAACTTTTTTTGTACTAAAATTACAAAATACCCAAGAAAAATTAGTGAAAAAATTAGCAAATTGAGGAATTTTAAATAGCTTAACACGAAGATTTTGTCACGAAGATTTTGTCTTACCCAGACCCAGATGATATCTTCAAACACTCACCGATTAATCCATTTATCTTCATGCGCGAATTTGGCCTAGTATGGTGAACCAATGGGCTGCACAAAATCTCTACAATATGGTCGAAGTGCATTGTGTCCTTAACGTCTATTCTAAGGGATTAAGGTCATCAACACCGGTTAATTTTTTTCAGTTTTTAGGAATATCTCGAATATTAATGGTATAAAATATTATTTTGTTAATGGTAAACATTGTTTTTTTATTTTAAACTTATTAATTGATTAAATAAAATAAAAACTGAAAAACTGTATAAATTTTCAAAAGACTTTTTTTATTGGAATAAAACTTGAAAACTTTTTTGAATCTCAAAAAACTTGCAAAAAAGGGAAAACTTGACATATGGTAACACTGTTTGTACGTAAAAGTTCGAACTGATCACTCGTAGATTTCGAGATGTTTTTGCTATCATTAAGATGTTTTTGTCTAATTATATCAAACACTACACAAATCTCAGCAAACGAAACGAGTAATATTCTTTTCTATTCCTTATTTGAAAAGTATGTAAGTAATATACACGCGTTTCTTAATAATTCAATACATCTTTATTCAACGAACTTAAAATTAAGAATAACAATTATTTGCATTCAGTGTTGCCATATTAATATAATACCAACAATGGGTCATAACAATCTCCCACGCTTAATAGGATCTTGTCATTTTGAAAAAAAATCAATTCGAAAATAAATTAATAAAATAGTACATAATTTATTCTGGAACGTAGTCTTGAAGATATGTTGGCCTATTGCGTAATCTTGCAGATCTACGAATAGTTTGCTCTTGAGAATTCTGCGCTTCTTGTACCGTTGTAGAATCTTGAGGTGCAGCATGACTAGTAGTTTCTTGATTTTCCTGGGATTCTGGATTTGACTGATTTTGAAGATTTGGAGCTTCCAATATATACTGGTTATAATCATGAGCCTGTTGATTTTGACGGTTAGTAGAATCAGTATTGTTTCCATCAATGCTTGGGGCAAAGTGTACTTCCCGTTTCTGAACATTTGAAATTTTCAGTTGGTCTATATGGCGTTTAAGCGTATAGCCATCATCCAATTTCACTAAATAATGTAGGTTTCCAAACTTCCTGATTACGTTGTCCATTTTCCATACAGTTTTGTTGTTTCTAATGTGTAGAACTTGCACTCTTTCTCCCACGCCTATTTGACGAACGCCTGGGATAGGCTTTGGAGAAAAAATTTTCTTTGTAGGTTTTAAAGCATACAATTTAATTCGAATACGTCTTTTAAAATAGAGTTCAGCTGGACTCTTTCCACAGTTCAGAGGTGTAGCTCGATATCTTTGAAGAATTTCGTTAACCTTTTTCTGTATTGAAGCCGGATCGGATGACATTGCTTTCAATTTACGCTTTAGTGTTTGAACATTTCGCTCTGCTAATCCATTTGTACTTGGATGTCCTGGAGCAATTAGTTTTTGGAAAATACCATTCTGTTTACAATATAATTTGAATTGTTCGCTGGTGAAGATTGTAGCGTTGTCGGATACAATAATTGAAGGGAAACCATGGGTAGTAAAAATTTCAGATAACAAACTTATAGTGTTTTGCGTTGTAGGTGCATCACGTATTACTCTAAATTCGGTCCATTTTGATTTTGCGTCTACAACAATTAGAAAATTGTGATTCTGAAATGGACCTGCGTAATCTATGTGGATTATCTCCCAGTTTTCCTCTGGTTCTTCCCATTGGTGTAGTGGGGCTTTTGATGGTCGATTTTGAACTTCCACACAAGATTCACATGATCTTACCATTCTCTCTATATCACGGTCAATTCCTTTCCAAATAGAGTATATTCTTGCAAGTTATTTCATTTTTAAATCTCCGGATGTGTGTGATGTAATTCTTGGAGAATTATAGATTGAAGACTTTTCGGTATAAGCACTCTTTGACCTTTAAAGATCACTCCATTACCGAGGGTATATTTTCCTTCGTCGTCATCACCACTTAGCAGATCTGACAAAATTTTTGAAAGTTCTGGATCTTTTGCTGTTTCCGTGGCTAATATTTCTGCATTCACGTGTTCATTAGAAATATTGAAGATTGATTCAAAACACAACTCATTAACTTCTTCATTAATGAGCTTATCTATAGATAGCTTTTCTTAAGGCTGCGTAGCACGAGAGAGGCAGTCAGCATTAATATGTTCAGAGCCCTTTTTGAAGACAATTTCATAATTGAAACTTGATAAAAATTCTGCATATCGTAGCAATCTGGCAGATGTTATAGCTGGCATCTTAATGTGTTGATGAAAAATGCGTGTCAATGGTCGATTATCTGTAATAAGCTGAAACTTCCTTCCGTAGAGGTAATTAAAAAAGTGATTCAATGTAAATACAATTGAAAGTGTTTCACGATCTATATGCCTATAGTTTCGTTCAGCTGTGGGCAATGATCTCGATGCATATGCAACTGGACGTTCTATACCATTTACTATATGTTAAAGTACACCTGCTATACCTGTAGGACTGGCATCACATGCTACTATAACTGGACGTTCTGGATCGAATGGCATAAGTACTTGGTCACTGGAGATTATATTTTTAAGTTTTATAAACGATGCTTCACAATTTGAAGACCAATAAAATGTCGAATTTTTCTGAAGCAATTGACGATAAGTTATAAGTTATTGAAGACATATCTGGAATAAATCTGGAATAATACGTTCTCATGCCTAAAAATCTTCTAACATCATCGACATCGACATCATTATATCTTACAATATGTCCAAGATATTCGATTTGAGTTTGAAAAAATGAGCATTTGCTTCTATTCAAGTGTAAAACGTGTTGTTGTAGTCGCTTGAGGCACAATATTAAATTTCGTTTACATTCGGCTTCTGTAGATCCATGTATTATAATGTCATCGAAATATGACATGGTTTTGTCTAAGCCAGATAAAATTTGTTCAATAATACGATTAAATTCTGATGGTGCGGTTTTTATACCAAAAGAAAGGCGGTTGACTCTGTAGGTCCCCTTATGTGTTGACATTGTTTGTATCTCACTGGATTCTGGATTTACTCGTAGGTGAAGGTACGCTTTATAGAGGTCTAGTCGACAAAAATATTTGGACCCTTTAAGGTTATTTAAAATCTCGTCAATACGACGTATAGGATAATTCGAAGAAACAAGTTGTGGATTAACACCTGGTTTGTAATCGACGCATAGTCGAATTCCTCCATCTGGTTTTGGAATAATCACGAGAGGTGATCCCCAATCACTTCTTTCACATTTTGATATAATCCCGGCAGCTTCTAATTCATTTAGTTCCTTTTCAACACGTTCTCGTAGAGCGTATGGTACTTCTCGTTCCTTATAGAATACCGGTTTGGAACCCTGGCGTAGCTGTAAAGTAACTTCATAGTTGTTAACACATCCTATTTTCTCTGTAAATACATCGTTAAATTCATTAATTATATCAGAAATTGAATCTAATTTATATATCTCCACTGTATTAATATTGTGAAGGTGTTGTTTATCTACTTGCTGTAAATTTATCTTCAAATGGCGAATCCATACTCGACCCATGAGGGCATCATGACCACTCGGAACGACATATAACTCCTCATTTGTTGTTAAGTTGTTGCATTTTACTCTTACATTGATCTTACCATCCGGAATTATTATATTTTTAGTGTAGGAACGAAAAGCAATTCTTGAAGGCTGCAATGCTTTCTTTACTTGCAGTTTTTCGTATTCATTTCTTGGTATTAGTGTAAATCCAACACCAGTGTCGACTTCAAATTTTTGGCGGCGTCCATTTATATCTACCTCGACGTAGTATTTATCGATATCATCTACCTTGAATTCATTTGAAAATATATCCACTATTTGGTTGATACCATAAATCTGGTGGATTGTCTCATCATTCTCATGATTTATATTTTCCCTTGAAGATTTGATTAAGGTTTTTATGAACACACGCTGGAGATGTCCTCTTTTTCCACACGAGTTGCATTTGAGGTTATGTTTGTTAGTGCGGCAGTCATTTGTTTTGTGGTTGTCTCTACCACAACGTAAACACAAATTATCAATTTCCTATAATCTAATCTCGATTTGGAATTGCGTTGCGTTGAAGAAGAACGATTTTTTAACCGACTTCTACGGCGACTTGAGGTACCGGCTTGAATTTTGTTGATATCACTACAGATGGTCTGCTTTGTATTAATTTCACGGCTATCTATCTTTGATGCTTCCAGGGAAAGTGCTCTTTGTATAATTTTTTCGAATTCTGCTTCCTCGGATTGAAGTAATTGCTCTCGAATTGTATTATCCTTAAGGCCACGTATAAATTGTGCTCGAAGACAAATATTTGAAATATCTGCATACAATTACATGTTGATCTGAACTCACATTTAATAATGTCCCGACGTAATAGTGCGACATAATCAGCAATTGTTTGATCCTCACTTTGATATGTTGACAAAAATCTGTGTTGACTTACTAGAAAGTTCTTCTTCGGGCATAAATGTGCCTCCAAGATTTTTATTATGTCGTCATATTCAACATCATTAATTGTCTTGGGGGCAATAAGCGAAACTAACAACTTGAAGTGCGTAGAACCAATTGAGTTTACCAACATTTGATGACAAAGTGTTTTATTTGCAAAAACACCTTTCATAGTTAAATAATTTTCGAATCGCTGACGGTATAATTTGAAATTTTCATTTTTCTCGTCAAAGTTCTCAAATGGCGGCAACAGCACTTGTAATGGCTGCGTACTTTGATTTTGCTGTTGTTGCTGTGATTGCAGGTTAGAACTTGCATATAATTGTTGTAGCAAGTCGCGTTGAGTCTTATTGAAGGCTTCTAATAATTGGGCAAATTGAGCTGCATCCATCCTGAAGTGTTCCTATTCAATTCTGGTTAATACCCTTTTCCGCTTTTTATTATTGATGCATAATATTTATTTTACTCTTTTTTACTCGTCGCCACTTTTCTATTCCTTATTTGAAAAGTATGTAAGTAATATACACGCGTTTCTTAATTATTCAATACATCTTTATTCAACGAACTTAAAATTAAGAATAACAATAGAAAAAGGAATGCAATAACTATTATTTGCATTCAGTGTTGCCATATTAATATAATACCAACAATGGGACATAACATATTCCGTTTCTTGTGTGTGTGATTATAACTCATTTGTTCGAACCTACACATCCTGCACATGCTTGTTTAATATTTTCGCAATGGTGTACGTGTATTTTGATACTATGTAGTACTGAGAATTTAAGAACAAGTATACCCATGCAGATGTTTAATGTTTATTACTTTAATAGGGAGAAAAAAGTACCTAAAGGGAAAAACACGGGAGTTTTATTTTATTCAGATTCAGTTGCACTAAATATACCAATGGGGTGATACTTGGCACTCCGGTACAAAGGACTACTTTTTTTGAAATTTTTCCTTTTTAACTGGTACTTTTGTGGTTTTTAATGAAAATCTATAAAAGGGGAGTTTTTGGTTTTTAATTTTTGAATTTTCTATAATATTGAACCTAAGAACATGAAATTAAGCATGTAGTGCCCAAAGTACGCGAGAACAAATAAAAGGGGACCTTTTGGAACTTTTTCGCTCTCCAAAATGCACTCATTTGGTACTTTTTATACCCTCCACCACCATCAGTGGTGATAGATAATTTTGCCATTCCGTGTGTAACACCAAGAAATATTCATCTGAGACCCAACAAAGTATATATATCCTGGGTAGGGATGCAACATCGCTCTTTAAAACATCGATGTTTTAAAGTATCGATGTTTCCATGATAAACATCGATGTTAAAAAACATCGGTATTGTGAACGATACATCAATGTTTTTCCGATGTTTTGATAACACATCATTTAATTTTCAAAAAAGCCATACATTTTTAACCGCTTATTCATAAACAACATTTTATTTAATAAATGGTTTATAAAACAAAATTTCCATACAAAATTTGATTTATTATTTATCAAAATTTTATTTGCTTCAATAAGAATTATAATTTTGCAATAGAGTTAAGAAGCCTACTATGTATGTAGCTGTGATAATCAGGTTCCTAGAAGCCTATTTATGTCATGAGTACCAACGTCTTAGCTATTAACATTGTAATAGTTAAAACAACAGGAAACAGAAATATTAAGTCTCAATAGCGTCCCGTTTATTGGTATGGAAGGAGATAACAGGCACATCTGTATTTCCGTTTCACTGGTAGTGTCTGTTACAGCTGGGTACATTTTATAAATCATACTGTTAAAAATTGGAACACTACACTACAGTTTTGTTAGTACAGTTTTCAAATCAACAATATTTTTTGTTAAATTCTAAAATGTTCAGTTTGAAACATATTGGAATCACACTAGTAAAAAGCGAAAGACTGTTATATTTTAATGTTTTTTGTAGAATCCAAAAATACAAATCTCAGGCACTTATTGAAAGAACGATGTCGATGTTTTTCAGTTTTAACGTCGATGAATCGCCGATGTATCGTCTATCAAAACATCGATGTTTATAACTAATACATCGATGTTTTCTAAACATCGATGTATCGTTTGCATTCCTAATTCTGGGTCCTTATCAAATTCTGAGTCGATTTAGCTATGTCCGTCTGTCTGTGTAAAACACGCTCACGATAAAACGAAGCAATAGAATTTAACTAAATTGACCCATGTTCTTCATTTTCTTAAGTTGTTTGGTATTGAAAATGAGAAAAATCGGTTCACATCGGGAAAAGTTATTAATCAAAATTTAAAACAACTCCGAAAAAATAAGCATTTTTTACACATTCTGATGTAATTTTCTCGAAACCTATGCAAGACAATTCCATGAAAATCATCATACATTCGTTTCTACACAAGAGCTTGATTCCTGTTGAAAATTGCCAGAATTAGTCCACAATTTCATACACCTCCCATACAAAAGTACATATTCCCGGAAAATTAGTTTTTTGTTAATAACTTCCGTCAGATGTCAATAGAATTCATTCAGAGAACAATTTTTTGGATCGGTCCCCTCCCGAAAATCACTTAAAAGCACATAACTCATTACAAAATTAAGATATCCATATAAAATTTGGTACAAGTATTGCTCACATATACAGAAATATTAGTATGAAATTTTCTTCCGATAGCTCCTATACAAGTTCCCTTCCCGAAAATCACTTAAACGCACATAACTCATTACTAAATTAAGATATCCTTATAAAATTTGGTATAAGTATTGCTCATATGCACAAATATTACTGTAAAAGTTTTTTTCCGATCGGTCCATAATTGGTCATAGCTCCCATATAAGGTACCCTCCCAAAAATTACTTAAAACCACATAACTCATTAGTAAATGAAGATATCCATATAAAATTTGGTAAATGTATTGTTCTTACATACAGAAATATTACTATGAAAGCTTTTCCGGATCGGTCTATAATTGGTCATAGCTCCCATACAAGTTCCCTTCCCGAAAATCACTTAAACGCACATAACTCATTACTAAATTAAGATATCCATATAAAATTTGGTACAAGTATTGCTCATATACACAGAAATATTACTGTGAAATTGTTTTCCTATTGGTCTATAATTGATCATAGCTCCCATACAAGGTCCCTTTCAGAAAAACGCTTAGAGCGAGTTTTTGAGTTGGCAATCAAATGCCAATTAATAATCAGATTAGTTAATCTAATCATAAATTTAATCTGATGTTAATCCCCTTTGATGTTTTTGAGTACAAGATTAAACTTCGCAGTGTTGCCATACAAAACAACAGAAAATGTCACTGTTTGTTATCAAAACAATGAATGTTTTATAAAAATGAAGAAGACAATTGTAAAATTAATATGAAAATTAATGAAAAGATAAATTTAAAACCAAAAAAATATATTTTGGGTGTGCATAATTTATACGAATCAATAAATAGAACATTTTAATGTTTATATTTATAAAAATTTTATTAATTTTTTTGCATCAGCTGTTTACACTTTTGTATTTCATGCTTAAGTTTAAACCACCTCCATTGGGCGCTTAAACTTGCAAACAAAATTAACTAATTGAGTACTCAAAGACAACTTTCGAGGATTAATTTTAATTTAAAGATTGCTAAAGATTGGCCCTTAAAGGCACATAACTCATTACCAAATAGTGATACCCATAAAAAATTTGGCATAAATACTATTTTTGTACAGAGAAATGTTATTTCAAAATTTTTTCATGATAGGTCCAACTTTGTTGACAGCTCCCATACAAATAGCTCCCAAATAAAGCTATTGATACAAAATTCGGCACAAATACAAGGTTCCCTTCAGAAAATCACTTAAACACACATTACTTATTACTAAATTACGATATACAACAAAATTTGGCTGAAATATGTACAGAATTTTGCTTAAAGATTTGTTTACGATCGGTCTATAATTGGTCATATTTCCCATACTAGGTCCTGCCCCGAAAATCACTTTAACCGTATTTAACTAGTTACATTATAAATTTGTGTAGAACAAAGTTATATATATTTTTAAACTCCTTAAATCTTTCACACACATGCAAATTATTAAATATCGCTAAAGCATATCTTAGGGCGCTATAAATATATAAAAGAAAATGGCATTTGCAGTAAAAATAAGTTTTTGCTGTTTACTGAAAAAATTTTCAGTAGTCAGTAAAGTTTTACTGATTACTGAAAAAAATTCAGTATTCAGTAAGTTTTTACTGATTACTGAAAAAATTTTCAGTATACAGTAAATTTTACTGATTACTGTAAAAAATTGCAATAAAATTTACTGGTTACAGCAAAGAAAATGCAGTATTTTACTGATTACTGAAAATGTGTTTACAGTATTCCGCAAGATCTAATAATTTACTGAAAATTCTATTTTCAACATATTTTTGAATATAACGCATATTTATCATCACAAGTAGCTATAGTGGGATAAATTTTACTTTTTGGGATTGTAAATCTTTTCAGAAGACAAGAACTTAGCTATGTACAAATTTATATAAGGCTAAATCTTATATAATATTGTCGGGCAATAATAAGTTGTTGGAAGCATTTATTCTATTTTATAATATTAGATTATTAATAGAAAAGAGAGTAAAAGAGATCAATATGATAATAGTTGTATGAAAATTTTAGTTAAACATAATGGGCCATAATCATAGTCATCAAAAAAGTATACTTTAAGTACCATTTATAAAAATTTATACTTTTCAGCTACTATAGACGAGAAAAAGCTTACTTTTTCCGCTAAAGTCAGTTTTATACTTAAAACAAGCTGAAGTTGTTTTTAACAAAGTTAACATTACTTTAACTATATCAGCTGTTTGTCATTTATCTAAAGTTACAAAATCAAAACAAACTTAAAACAAAAGTTGTATGAATTTTGTTAATTTTTTTATAATTTATGGAAAAAGTGTTAAAAAATAATTAAAGAGATGTGTACAATTGAGGAAAATGAAAATTATTTTGATATTATTGAAGATTTATGTGAAGGAAGAAAGCCTAAGTTGCATAAGGAAAGGTTTTGCCCATTTGAACTGGACGATGATGAGTTTTTTTCGCGATCTAGGCTTGATAAAATAGCAACGCACTTTTTAATAACTTTATTTTTCTTTAAAATGTTAAAATAACAATTTATAACGTGTTTATTTTTTGGCTCTTTTATTGCATCAGCTGTACAGAGATGCCACTCATACAGTATTTATACCAGTTTTTATGCAAAATTTTAAACATTTTACTAATCACCCACTTAAAGCTGGTTCAACTTAGAACTATTATTAATTTTCACTATAGTTAAGAAACAGTTAATAACAGGTTTAAATATTAAAGTTGTTTTTAAAAGAACCGACTTTAGTGTTTGACTATTAT